TGTATAAATGCATGCGTGGGCTTAATTCAATATCAGAGAAATTGAGCCACGGGCATGCTCCAAGTGTTTCTGCTGTTGAAAAAACATTCAATGTCATTTTTTTGTGTGTGTGAAATATCTATATACACAGCCAAAGGTGTACGCAGAAACAGACACTGGTCATTCAGATAATCTCAGGCTTACAGTTAGGGAAAATACATACTCAGAAGAAACACCTCTCAAGTGTAAAGTTTGTGGTGAACAGTTTACACAAAGTGATTACCTACTGAGACATAAAGAAATGCACGCTGGAAAAAAGCTTTACAAGTGTGAAGTTTGTGGTGCAACATTTGCAGAGAGTGGCAGCCTTCAGAGACATAAAAGAACACACGTGGGAGAAACATCTTACAGTGAAGTTTGTGGTGCGACATTTGCACAGATGGGTGTCATGCAGAGACACAGAAAAATACACACTGGAGAAAAGCCTTACAAGTGTGAAGTTTGTGGTGTTATGTTTACACGATCCAGTGTCTTAAAGAGTCACCAAAGAGCACACACTGGAGAAAAACCTTACGAGAGTGAAGTTTGTGGTGAAAAATTTACGAAAAGTAGAACCCTACTGGGACATAAGGCACACACAGGGGAAAAGGTTTACAAGTGTGAAGTTTGTGGTGCAACGTTTGCACAGATGGTTGTTCTGCAGAGACACATAAAAGCACACGTAAGAGGAAGGCCTTACAAGTGTGAAGTTTGTGATGTAATGTTTACAAAAGCGAGTGTCTTGAAGAGTCACCAAAGAAGACACACAAGGGAAAAGCGGTGTGAAGTTGGTGAAAAGTTTACCAAAAGAGGTAATCTACTGAAACATAAAAGGACATATACGGAAGAAAAACCTTACATGTGTGAAGTTTGTGGTGAGAGGTTTACAAAAAGTGATAGCCTACTGAGACATAAATTAACACACACTGGAGAAAAACCTTACCAATGTGAAAATTGTGGTGCGACTTTTGCAGAGAGTGACAGCCTTCACAGACACTTGAAAAAAGCACACACCAATGAAAAAGCTCACAAATGTGAACTTTGTGGTGCAACATTTGCAGAGAGTGACAATCTTCACAAACACAAAAGAACACACTTGGAAAAAAAATCTTACAAATGTGAACTTTGTGGTGCGACATTTGAACAGATGGGTGTCCTGCAGAGACACATGAAAGTACACGTCAGAGGAAGGCGCTTCAAGTGTGAAGTTTGTGGCGCAATGTTTACACTAGCCTGTGTTTTGAAGAGTCACCGAAGAGCACACACAGGAGAAAGATCTTACGAGTGTGAAGTTTGTTGTGAAAAGTTTACCCAACCCAGTGTCCTGAAGAGTCACCAAAGATTACACACGGGAGAAAAACCTTACAAGTGTGAAGTTTGTGGTAAAAGGTTTACACAAAGTGGTGGCCTGCTAATACATAAGAGAACACACACGGAAGAAAAACCTTGGAAGTGTGAAGTTTGTGATAAAAGGTTTGCATATCGTAATTACCTACAGGTTCATAAAAGGACACACACAAAAGAAAAACTTTACAAGTGTGAAGTTTGTGGTGGAGCATTTTCAGATCTTTCGTCCTTGAGGAGTCACAAAAAAACACACACAGGAGAAGAAAACTACAAATGTGAAATTTGTGGAAGAGCATTCATGTCAAGTCGGTCCCTACTGATACATAAAAGGAGAGTACACACAGGAAAAAGACGTTACAAGTGTGAAGCTTGTGGTAAAATGTTTTTATTTGCCAGTGCCTTGAAGATTCACGTACGAACACACACAGGAGAAAAGCCTTACAATTGTGAAGTTTGTGGTAAAAGTTTTGTTCATAGTAGTGGCCTTTCAGTACATAAAAGAATACACACAGGAGAAAAACCTTTCAAGTGCGAAGTTTGTGGTAAAACGTTTATTGGAAGTGGAAACCTAGGAGCACATAAAATAACACACACAGGAGAAAAACCATACCAATGTGAAATTTGTGGCAAAAGATTCACAAGAGCTTCTCACCGAGTAAGACATAATATGAGAATACACTGGAGAAAAACCTTGTAAGTGTGAAGTTTGTGGAAAACGTTTTATAAGTAGGCCTACAAGGTGTAACCGACTAGTACATTATAAAGGAACACACAGAGAAGAAAAACCTGACTAGTGTGAAGTTTGTGGTGAAAGGATTTTACAAAAAGTGGTAACATACTTGGTGGTAAAAAACTACACAAAACCTGACAAGTATGGAGTTTATTTAACCCTTTTACTACTGAGATGTATCCTCTATATATGTGTACTGACAAAAGAAAATGTCCGTTCAACTTAGTTCAAGGGAGCTATCGTCAATATCTTTACTCTTTTTATGAGTAAGAAACTACCAAGTATGGCTCTATGTCCAAAAGCATATTGTACAAACCAGCAGAACAAAATGCCAGTGAACAATTTTTCTAGAGCACATGCGAGTACATACGTCCCCACAGCAGTGAAGAGGTTATAGTGAAACATGTAAATTTACAAGAAGTTACCTGTACTGGTACAAAATAACACACAAAGGAGCAAAACCTGACACGTGTGGAGTTTATGGTGAAACATGAATTACAAGAAGTTGTCTCTATTGGTACAAAGATGATACTTTAAAATTTCCCTCTTGGATAATGAAGTTTTATCTATCTTATCTTTTAAAAGTATACACAGGAGGAAAACTTGAAAGTGACAAGCATGAAGTTTGTGGAGAAAGCTTTACAGATAATGGAAATGGAAGCCTAAGTTACGGGTAAATACAAGAACACACAATACGGGAAACACTTTACAAGGGTGAAGTTTGTGGTAAAAGATTTACACATTTTGTGTGTGAAAGTTTACACAAAACAGTAACTTGAGGAGTCACAAGTGCCACCTACACACATAAAAGAAACACAGTGTAGAAAAACCCAATACTACTTGTAGAGTTTGTGATGTAGGTTTACTTGGAGTAGCAGCCTACAGAGGTACAGAATGATACATATACCTGAGAAAAACTTAACAACTTGTAAAAGTGTAAAGTTTGTGGTGAAATGTTTGTAGAGAGTGGCGGCTTTGACAGACAAAAGAACACACACAGGATGAAAGTCTTACTACATGTGTGAAGTTTGTAGTGTGTCATTTAATTGGAGTAACGGCCCACAGAGCCACAAATTAAAGAACACACAAAAGATTTTACGTATGAGATCAAATGTGCTTTGCACATGCAGATATCTATAATAATGGTAGTTGTCCGAAGCCAAGGAACTCAACAGCTTATCAAGGAATGTTGGCCTACATATACATCCAGGCAAGTCAAAAGTAGTGAAGCTAGGAAAAGTTTCAAGCCCTGCTGTGGCAGTGGAAGACACTCCTCTGGAAGAAGTGAACTCCTTTACCTACCTTGGAAGTGTCTTCGATGGTGAAGGTTTAACCGAGGCAAATGTTAAGTCTGGAAAGCGACCAACATCTCACTGCACACCAAGATTTGACTCATTATCTCCAACGTCAAGTCTGTGCTCCTCTACAGCTGTGAAAATTGGAAGACAGTACTGAATAAAGTCCAGATTTTCATCAACAGATCATGTATGAGGAGTATTCTATAATTCTAAAAATTATGTGGCAGGATAGAATAAGAAATAAAGAGCCGTGGGAAAGGACAGGACAAAAGATCTAAGTTGAAATAGGACAAAGAAAGTGGTGATGGATAAAACACACCTTAAGAAAGCCCAGAGGAATCATCACAAGATAGTCATTGAGTGGAACCCACAGGGAGCATGAGGCAGGGGTAGGCCAGGGGAAACATGGAGGAGAGGCATGGAAAGGGACATTAGAGAGATGAAGCTCACTTGGAACAAGCTTGGAAGGATGGCCCAGGACAGAGATAAATGGAAG